CCTCTCTTCCCTCATGCCCAAGACGGCGAGCAGTTTCATGCTGGACGACCTGCTCAAATGTGTCTTGAATCTCCGACTACTCATGATTGTTGATGGTCTGGATGAACTTAATGAAAATTCGTCATCGTTTCTTGCAGAAATCTTGCAACTTAAGAGGACTGTAGACATTACAATTTTCTGTACAACTCGACCAGAAAAAGTGAAACAGTTTTGGAAATTGGTTCCCGAGGGATTTCAGGTTACCTCTCTTGTGATTATGGGTGTTCCTGAAAGCAGAAGGATAGACTTTGTGCTTAAATACTACAATGAAATGAAGAAAACCCACACTATCCACAACACAGAAGGCCTAACAAGGTTTCTAACATCATCGAGCCTCAGAGACCACTGGAGATTGCCACTTAATTTGATGCTCGTGGCTATGCTGTGGGCAAAGTCGTCTGGTTCGAAGGAAGACAGTCTTTCAACAACTACTAAACTATACATTGAATTTCAGCGCATAACAAAGGAGAAGCTCATATGTAGAATCAAAGGGAATGAGAAGACCCGGCATCTAGAAAACCTAGAAGAGAAGCTAGAGAAATTTCTTAGCACCTTGTACTGGGAAGCACTTCGTAGCCTCGGGCATGATGACATATTCTTACCAGACGAGTCGACAAGCAGGCTCCGTGATGCATGTATTTCAGTCGGTTTGCCCTGTGAAGAAGTTTTTGGTGCATTTTTTATGCAGATGAACACATGGACTTCAAGTGGACCTCACACACGCACCAGTTTCTTCCATAAGGGGATGCAGGACTTCTATGCTGCATTATTCATCTTGAAGAAACTAAATAATGAAATGACAAATGTCTCAGCCTTAATTCAAGGATTCCAGAATGTCATGGCTTTACATAATATTCAAGACGATGTTCGTCAAGAAATCACAAAAACTGTGTCAGATATATTTACAAAATATACGACGTTACCCAGTACATCTCCCTCATCAAGAAACACAAATATGGGATATTCTAATGGCAAATGCAATTATGTGAACTGTAGTAGCATTTCATTCTCAGAATCACCTGTCAATGAAATTTCCCTTAAGCTAGATAAAGACAAAGACTGTAGTGCAAAAGAGAAAAATCAAGAGAGCACATATGCCCATTTTGACGATAACGTGGCAGGGGTGACAACTAACACGGTTGGGGACTCTGTAGAGAATCTTTACAAGGAAAGTACAGTAAGTAAGGAATATACCGAGCCTGCTTCTGAGAAGAAGGCTATTCGTAGTAAAAAGCAAGGAGAACGAAATATAAAAACTTTAATTGCATCAAAAACTTTATGCTTAAAAGCTATCATGACGTTCACATCTTACATGCCAACGGCAGCTTCAACATCTGAGGTGAAGAGAGATTCTGCGACGCAAAGGACAATGGACACTTCAACACCACGTTGCTGGAGCATTGCAAGGACTTTAGAAGAATTAAGCCAAGGCAAAATTAAATACTGTACTATGAATAAATATCAGAATATGCTGTTGCACCTAGGTGGGTTACTACACAACACTTCAGGGAAGTTGGAGAGGGAAATAGCAGAGGAACTTGTCACCATGTTAGTTAAGAGTAACTTGCAAAGCAGGAGGCAGTGGATCGATTTGTTGTCAGAGGTGGAGTGCGATGATGAAACTACTTGTGCTGTGGTCCGACACGTGCCTACACTTGTTAATGGTCTGGTGGAGGTGGAAGACACGACTGTTGATGTCTATGCTGCTTTGCTTCGGCTGGGTTGCCCATCTGCAGTGAAGATACGAATCAAAGGGGACGCCGAGAAAATCCCTCGCTTACACAATTTACTAAAAGTCTTGGCAAATGAAAGGACTCCTTTGATGCTATATTTCTGGAAAGATTTTCAACATGCCAGGCACTGTCAATATCACAATGACATGGCACACGATGTTTTCAGTCGGTAAGTAAACTAACTTTCTAAGGTTTTGTAATCTCATGTACACATTGTAGACACTAATATACACATAGCTAGGCATTCCCGTGAGTAATCATCAAATCATCAAATCAAATCACTTGCATATTATCATGATTTATCTCGGTTACAGATGTCATGTGACAAAATTTTCCGGTTGCTTGGATCGTCGCACAGCTACTTGCCTTCCCAACACACTCGAGGGCCTCTCGCTGGCCATCGTGGACGACCAGCACTACAAGGAACTGACTCCAGTCTTCACGGGACTCCTCTCGGCTGCGCCTCGACTCTGCTTCCTGTGTGAGTCATTTTCTCCTTGTGAAGATTTGAGGACTTGCAGATTCTTAGAGAATAAGAAAAGCGTCGTTATATATTTAGTAGACCTGGGCAATTTTCTTTCTTCTTTTCACTTTGCAGGGTTGCACATTACTACTAGTACTGATTTCTCCATTCTGCAACCGCTGCCACATATACGGGACAGCCTTCGCCTCTACCTGAGCCATGTGGGGGACAGTGACATCAAATGGGTTGCCAAGACATGCCTGGC